GCAGCACCAAGCCAGCAGCTCACACCAACCCAGCAGGTCACATCACACCCAGCAGCTCACACCAACCCAGCAGGTCACACCACACCCAGCAGCTCACACTAACCCAGCAGCTCACACCTACCCAGCAGGTCACACCAACCCAGCAGGTCACACCATACCCAGCAGGTCACAGTTAGTGTGGTTGTGGAGGAAGGCCTGACCTTGTGGCCTCTCAGTAACCCTGAGACCCAGGGAAGCAGTCATGTGCTGGGACCGTGTTCTCCTGGCCCCTCAGTTACACTCCTGTACTGGCAAGACTGGGTCTAATAAAACATGCAGAATTCAGGGGTGGGCTTCTTTTCCTTCCTTCCTTCCTTCCTTCCTTCCTTCCTTCCTTCCTTCCTTCCTTCCTCCTTCCTTCCTCCCTCCTTTCTTCCTCCTTCCATGATTCCATTGATTTTTAGAGAATGTGGAAGGGAAAGGGAAAGACAGAGAGAAACATCAAAGTGAGAGGAACACTTTGATTGGTTGCCTCCTGCATGAGCCCTGACCTGGGCCTGGACCAAGAAGAAATGAACAGGATGAGAAAAATGAATTTGGCTTTCATGGGTTTTTGGGGGAGGGGGCAAAGCAGGTCTGAGAAATTGGACCAAATCACTTAAGTGAAAATGTCTGAAGCTGTGTTTCATGCATTTTTGCGAGAAGCTGTAATTACGCTGCTTGGAGAAGTAATTGGTGGACAGACACAGAGCCCCCCGAAAGTGCTGCTCTTTCCGAGGGGATGGAAAATGCGAGTCTTAGGAGCCACTCCCCAAACTCCTTTCTGCCGTTTTTTTCAGACCCGCAGGCTCCTGGGGTAGGAGAGGGGCTCGAGCCCAGCACAAGAATAGCGCCTCTGGGTCTCCAAGCCCCTCAAGTCTACTTTTAGAGCCCACGTAGTGAGTGATGTGCACATAGAGCACGTCTGACTGCGCGCACAAAACGGGATCGCCTGGGGGTGGGTGTCGTTTAGTTCTTCCCTCATCGCCGTAGGCCTCGCTGGGACCTGGCCCGAGGTGCGGCCCCTCCTGGGCAGTCATGACCACTGGGCAGCCCATGCATGGCTTGTGTTATATTTTGCTTTTGCAGAGCCAGGGCATGGACAGGGGCTCCCGAAGCCACCATGTGAGCTGAACGGACGCCTCGTCTGCATTAAGAAGCTGTGGGCATGTGGGCGCCACCACTGTCAGCCCGTCCCCTGACCTTCATCCTCATGAAGCCACAGATCTGACTTCTCCACACCCAGACTGAGGTGAGGACGTGGGGGCAGTTTGAAATGGAGTTTCCCAGCCTCACCCCTGAATCTGTAGCAAAGCAAATAAACCACCAACAACAACACAGAGCATGCTCAATGCCTGGCCCCCGAAGCTCCCCACAGGGAGGAAGTGGGCGCTGCTCCCACACTGGGTTAACGCATCTCCTGAAGGTCTGGCAGTGTGCCCTGTGGTATCTCTTTTTGATCAGGGCCACCCCCCATCCGAGCTCCGGGTATCGGGGGGCAGCCACACTGGATGGGTCCAGAGGTCCACTCACCCCTCCTCTGTGGCCCACACGGCACCCACATCCGCTGCACCCACCCAGCGGGGGACTAGAAATGGGGGAGAAACATGAGATGTCTTCATGTCGGACGTTACAGGGAGAAAGGGGGAGCCCGGGAAACACTGAGGACGAGCTGGTGAGCTGGGGAGGAGTCTTCAAACACGCTGCAGGGCCAGGAGGGGAGCTGCCCGGCTGAGGATCAGGCTCTGGCACGGGTCAGAGAGGCAGGACCCTGGGGGCATGGGCTCCTGGCGGAGCAGCCTAGCCGCACAGGCAGTGCCCAGCCGGTCAGAAGGCCGAGCAAGCAGGTGGTGGCCCCAGCTCTGCAGGCAGGTAAGAGTGGGCTGGATGCTCCACCTTTTCTTTTCTCTCTTCTGCTCTGAGTGGTTACCATGGAGACCACCTGGTGAAGATGTGATTGACAGAAGATGGGAGGAGCCTGGATCCCCAGGTGACTTCACGGTGCAGAGCCTCATGCTACTGCCCAAATCATATGAGACAGATGGAGGAACTAGAAACTTTCAGGACGCTAAGGTGCTGGAATTGTAGCGTTCATTCTAACAGACACTTAACCAGTACAGCGCCCTCATCCCGCATGATGAGATGATTAACTCAAGTAACTTCCGCCTAGAACTGTGGACGCAGAGCCCGTCACGGTGTATTTATCAAGCGCAGCCCAATGCACAGCCCGGCTGACGGGTCATCCCTCAGGTGTCAGATGGTCTGCTTCGGTGTTGTTCACGGAGAACCTGGGCAAACAACCCAGGTTCCTATGTCAAGATAAATCTCTGATTTGTTTTCAGGTAACCTGGTGTGTGTGTGTGTGTGTGTGTATGTGTGTGCGTGTGTGCACGCGTGGGCACGTGTATATGAAAATACACAGTTTGAATTGCGATGCAGAGTCTTTGCTTTGGGGCAAAGTTCACACATTTGTTGTCGGCAGGACTCGCCAGAAGGGCCAGTTGGAAGGTTCTAGGGGACTCTTTGAGAAATCTCTCCCTGGGTTGAAGTTCGGACTGTATGAAAGCAGTGGGCCGCACGACCCCAGAGGGCACAGCGCGTGAGTCCTCCTTTGGGGAGGGGGTCCTATGAAGGTGGTTCCCCAGGACCGGCAGGCTCAGAGGTGGACAGTGGTCCCGAGAGGAGCTCGTCCACAGCGACAGCAGGCCCCTGGCCCTAGCAGTGAGAGCAGCACCGAGCCGCTCCTGCTGCCCCCCCTCCCCCGGGCCTGGCCAGGAGCCGCTGGGACGGTGGGCACGGTGTTTGGAAGCCAGTGTTTGTTCAAGGAGACCAGCTTCCACGGCTCTGGACCACACTGAGCAGGACTTCACTCCCCGCGGCTCCCTCACGGAGCTCCCCGGCTCCAACTGCAGCATCGGACAGATGGACAAACACCCTGCAGGTCGCGTTGTCCCTCAGATGCTGCCCATGGAGACGGGGGCTCTAAGGCCACTGTCCGCCTGGGAGACCCCTGTACCAGGGAGAGCTGTGCGTGAGCTGCCACGTGACTCTAGGAAGTCTTCACGCGCCAAGATGACTCAGAACTGCCTGTGTTTCAGGATGCGGGGAGCATGGGAGGAATCAGGAACACTTCCAGGAGATCCCAGATTCAGGGAGGGGCTGTGAGCTAACGCGTGCACGCAGACTTCAGACACCTGCAAACAGAATCGCTGCAGGAGGGGAGGGAGGAGACGAAGGAGAGCCGGGCTGCTCTGCACTCTGAACGCATGGCCGCCCTCTCATGCCTCTGTCCATGTCTCAGGCTCTCCCTGGGCCTCTCGGCTCATCTCTTTCAGGATGGATTCCCGGATTTGCGGAATAACCCTGCAAGGCAAAGGGCAAGGAGGGGACCAGCTCTGCATGGGGCTCCAGAAGCCAGCCCCTCCTTTACCGGGATGAACCCTGACCTTCAGTCCTCCCCTGATGACCGGTCACCCACCCCTTGGCACCGGCGATGACCGCACCGCCGTTCCGCTGATCTGGGGGAGGAAGGCATTGAGTGGGAGGAAGGGGGAGCCTCTCGGCCTGCGTGGCGGTCGCCACCTCAGCTTGCTCTCCGCTCGAGGACAGTGGCCTCCGGGAGGCTGGGCAGAGGGGCCGGCGCCAAGCACCAGGCTGTGACAGCGAGAAGCTAATGTGTGTTACCGCGGGGTCCACCGGGGGAGAAAGTTTGAAACATTTTAAAAATGCAGGTGCACACGTTCCCCCTGCCAGGAGCGGCGGTGGCACTTTGTAATAAAATCGTATGTTTATTTTCCACCGTTGAATACACATGCCTTAGTGTTCCCAGGGAGAGCCGCCGCAGTGCGAGCCAGTGAACAGTTTGCCGACGGATTAAGCACATGTACCAGGAAATAAAACGTGCAGACTCGGGGCGTCTGGCCTCCCGCCTTCACGCTGGCCCAGAGCTCCCCAGCGAGGCCCTGGGAGCTTTGTGCAAAGAACTGAATCAGGAAGGATCGCGTTGAAGAGTCACGTGGAAACCGCTCCTGCAGGAGCCCCCAAACCAAAATGTTGAAGGAGCGGTTCCAGCTTCAGAGTCTGTGACAAATGATGGCAAATGAACGGAATATCCGATGGCCAGCGGGGCCCTATGGGATTTATCAATCAACAGGACTTCCTGGTTACTGAGGAAGGTTTGGGGGGAGGGAGGTGCATATATGTGAGGGTCTTTGTTGCTAATATTTTCCCTGAGGCATAGGGCTTGCGGGGGCAAATCTTCAAGTTACTGCATCCTGGGAAGTTATTTATTTTAGCCAACATTTCTTTCCAGCTTAGAGAAGAATAGCACTCTCATGGGCACTGTGTAGGGAGGCCAGGATGTGTGGGACGGGGTGCCAGCACCCACTGCACTGGGGACCCACAGGGGTTAACAACCAGAATGACAGGACATGCGGACAATGAGCTCCATCGGGGAAGGGACAGGCCCTGGGCTCAGGGGATCATAGGCGATGGGGGAGGAAGGAAGGCCAGAGGCAGGAAGCCATCCTTAGAGCGGGGTCAGGGGGTGTCAGAAGGGCACGGAGATTGCACATCCTGAGCGGGATTTGGTCAGGAGGGAGGAGATGGGAGATGGGAGTCCTTGACATGCGTACAGTGTTTGTTGCCCGTGGGCCTGGAGCCTCGCTGTGACACCTGGGCCTCTTCACTCCACAGACTGCCATTGGGACCCTGGAGTGAGTCTTAGACTAGATGGCATGCCCAAGGACGGCCTCTCTCTCTCTCTCTCTCTCTCTCTCTGGCTTGGTCCAGCCAGTATTGCCAGAAAAACCCTCCGGTGGAAAATCAAACTGGGAGTGAAAAATGAAGAAGGCCTGTGAACAAAGCAGAACTTGTGAAACACACACACTGACACACACACACACACACTCACACACACACTGACACACACACACACATACACACACACATACACACACACACACACATACCCCTCAGTGCACGACATTCCCAAAATCCTCACACAAACCCTAACCCTAACCCTAACCCTAATCCTAACGCTAAATCATAACACTAACCCTAACCCTAAATCAAAATCCTAAACCTAACCCCAAATCAAATCATAACCCTAATGCCAAACCTAAAAATAACCTTAAATCATAACCCTAACCCTAACCCTAACCAAAACCTTAAAAAATAA